TACTATACGTAAAATCATGAATAACGGATTACATTTAAATATTTTATGTCAAACACAATAAAAATAATATTTAAAAAATCCCGCTTATACATTTCTTCATAAATTGGCAGGCTTGGCGACTACTATTTCGTATAAAAATAGCGTCCAAGATACAAAACTATGTCGCTACCCCCTTATATATACAAGAATTTCCCACTGGCACCTATTGTTTGACAGGTCGTTGGAATGCCTAATTGGAATAGATACGCCTTACCTATAGGTTTAATGATTTTATAGACGGGGAGAGAGGAAATGTACACAAACGGAGAACTTGGCAGTGCCGTACCGCATGGAAGGGGTTATATATTGTTAATTACTATAAAATGCTAGATGAAAGCGGATGGACATGATTTTAAAAATATTGTTTTATAGCGTATATTTTTAACTTTTAATGTAAGAATAGGTTTTCACAGTATTGTGATACTACATAGACCATGCACAGGCTTGTCATTTTGTATATTATTTACTCAATTTTATAGGATTATTAATTTTGTACTTTAAACAATTTGTATACATTTTGAGTAAATATACCTACTATAAAGCTTGACTGATGAAGGAGAAAAGAAAATAGAAAAATATTGTGAAGAACCCGTTTTGTATGTGAAGCAAGAATATTATACATATTTCTGACTACATACCTTCCTTTATGAAATAAAATAAAGACCAATTAAAGCATTTTATTTATCAACTAAAAATAGTTATATACACAAATAATAATAGTCTCCCTAATTACAGAGATTAATGAACTTTATTATTTACAAAGTACTGTAGCAAAATTTTGCCGTGCACAAGTTAGAGGGAACAAAAGAAATAATGGCATTGTGTTTGTTCTCTATTTTAACAATTCTGGCAATGCATGAAGTGGTGTGACTAATTTAAAATGGGCAGCGTCGATTGAAATTTTCTGATATTTTTAAATACCTATAATAAGAATTCCTTTTATTTAAAATGGTTCTATTTGGATAGATGGCTATTTTTTAAAAATTTAAATGTAAATAAAAACCTACAATAGGTACATTTTATTTAAAAATTAAGTTCCATATTAAATATAATTAAAAAAAAGCTACAAGATTTAGATTTAAAGACTTCATTTTCATTTTTTTTTTAAATAATATTTAAAGTAGTTCATTCGTAAGACGGCTTTTCTTAAGAATTCAATAAAATTAAAATATAAGGTTAAAGAAAATGTCTTTTACGTACCTAACTAAAAAATTTTTTTTTGATCGTCTGTGAAACGAGATATAAACAATGAAATTGTGCATAATTAACAGTCTTGAAGCCTGTCATGTACATAAGCAATGCATTTATTTCAAGATATCTCAAAAACGGTTCTTACTATATTTTTTTAAAAACTAATGTAATGCAAATCAAGAAGTTATACAATTTTCTAAAAAAAAAAAAAACGCTGAATTTTTTGACCGTTTTGGTAAAAAGATATAGATTTTTAGAATAAAAATATTTTTAAAGCAGTCGACGTGTAGTGGGGTACAATGATTATAACTTGGCAACATTGTTAATTCAGAATCACTGAATTACACTCGATCTGCTAAGAGGTTGTTATAACCTCGTTACGTGTTCTTGAAAAATTAATTTGTCTACTGTATTTGAGAACTGCAATCGACGCTTCTGTTTGAACCAAAACAAAACCTTAAAATTAGTATGAGGAAGTCACAAATTTCTATAGGTATACATTTGATATCGCACCATTCATATATTTGTGACGTTGCCGGATGGATTTTACTTGAAATAATAACGTATCCGTACATAAGCTTACATGTACTGTGTTTTCTCTTACAAAAATAAAATTTTTTAGCATTGAGAATCTCAAACTATTGGCGATATTTTTGTGTACGACTGTCGCGCGTGAACTAACTTAATAATTACTACATGTAAACAACTTATTTTAAATTGGTCGGTATTAGATACCATAAGTATTTAGTATACCTATTTACCTGCAGTAAAATTGTTTACAATTCAAAACCCATTGGTTATATTTAGGCAGTACCCCGCGCATATGGAAACATCATTATTTTCCTCCATAATTCAAGGGGGTTTATCGTTTTGAACATTTTTGTCTTGAAATTGAATTCTGATATTTCGAAAGAAGAATCACTTCCATGGTTTTATGCAATATTCAACATTTTAACTGACAGTTGGCAACGTTGTAACCATTTGTAATTATTATACAGGTTCCTTATGAGCGCGAATAATAAACAATATTTTCATATCAATTTGCTTCTAAATGCCCAATTAAACGAATACCTGATTAGATATTAGATTTAAAAGGAGTTTGACATTATGTGTCCGTGTCCACCGGGACCTTTTCAGATCTATTGTAGGACTCCGTTTGTTTTAAAATATGTCATCTAAGCTTGGACTTTTTTATTAGACTTACAGCCGTATGCATAGTCGATCGCCAGCGACTCGCCGGAGATTGTCACCGGAATGTCATTTCACGAAAGTTTTCATTTATAGGGAAAAATTTGATATTCGTTCATTATTTTTTGAGTTTTAAGAAATGAATCATGAATAAAATGCGAGAGATACCGGTGATAATCCCTATAAAAGAAAATAAAAACTTGCGTGAAATGACATTCCGGTGACAATCTCCGGCGAGTCGCCACCTTCTTGGGCTTTCGCCGGCGGATCGCCAGCGAATCGCTGGCAATACGCCGAAATGAATCTCTGGCGAGTCGCTGGCGATCGACTATGCATACGGCTGTTTGTTTTCTTGACAGTGGCATCCACATGCATGTAGTCACATGTGTCTGGCTTTTCTTCATCTAGTATAAGAAACCTCAATCTAGTTAGGCTTTCACATTGGGTGCAGGACGTGGATTGTTGTTTCCTTTTCTAATTCACAGAACCCGAATGAATTAAAAAAAAAGAATAAATTAGAAAATATCTTAGAATTTAAAAATAATTTAATTTTGTAAAAGAAGTGAAAACTTACTTTTTAGAAGATACAAATAAATAAATACCTTGGGAGATTCTACTTCTAGTACACACCAACTACGGTTGCTTATTACATTGTTCTTACTTCTTTTTTGCAAAAAAGTAAAATGTATACGTGTATTTGATACGCCAAAATTACAAAATATCTGCAGCTTGCGCTAGTATCGCTTTTGCTTCCCCTACCACAATTTCGCACTGAGCGAATATAATCTTTATACATTTTCTATACTACCTACTTCCCTCAACGGAGTATGTACTAAAAAAAATTATAAGTTATCAATAATGGGTTTAGTATAATCAAAAAAGTTTACTTTATGTTTATTAAACTACAACTGGGAGACAACAGTTTTAAGTTATTTTTCACAGTATTTTAGACCTCAATAACACTTAGTTTCAGAAACGAATTGTTTAACTAGGTGTAAGTAGACGATTGCAATAAATACTTATAAATTACCTTTTACCTATATCAATACGAAAGTATGTATATAAAGACACTTGTTTACTTAGGGGTCTATTCTGTAACAATTCCTTTATATTTAACGGTCTTTAAAAATATTGGCGGCCTATAAAAATATGTTCGTATTCGTTAATTTACTTCTGTCATTATTTAAACAGATTTCTTTAAGATAGTCCTCTAATGTATTTTAAAGATCCGTTTAAATAATGACAGAAGTAAAGAAGAAAATATTTTTAAAGGCCGTTAAATATAAAGAAATTGTTACAGAATAGACCCCTTACTCTATTAGCCAAATATTGGATTTCAAATAAAATAATCTATTATTATAGCTAAATAAATCTTTAGGTGAAAAGTGATCTAAACCAACTTTGGCATCTTTCAGTTTTGAGATCTTCCTCATTTATTTTCAAGTTGTTCAGCCACAATGACATTGAACAATGTCTCTCGGAAACCTGTAAACGTATATACCTACCACAAAATAATCATTTTCTCTCGCATTTTCTACAATTAGGTATTTTTGTATCAAGAAATAAATAAAACCCTAGCACAGTTGTTACGCCCATGGATATCTACATTATTTACATTTCATGAGATTGATTTTGACATAACCTACCTGTGAAAATAGCAAGGCATTGGTTTTAGGTGGTTTTGGTCCAAAATGTTCGGAAAACTATGCATCTCTTTACTATTTTGAAATGTATAATCACGTTTGTAAATAATTTCTTTCATATAAATAAATAAAACAAGAATATTCCACTAAAATAAAACACCGAATGACACTTTTTAAAAACATACAGAAACAGGGTTGCCAAATGTTCAGTTAAAATATAGTATTTAATGGTTAAACCGATGGATCGTAGTGAACAAAATCTAAAAACATCTAATTTAAACACCAATTGAATGCAGGAAAAAATTAAATGAGAAATTTTATGAATATGATTCAGATTCTTAAATGAACTGTTAAATATTAAGCTTCATATTAAGTATTTCGAACCTTGAAACATTGGGAACTAATAATTATTATCCTTATACGTTTAACCTAAAGAGACACTGTGGCAACCTCTGCTGGTACCACCGTTTGTTGTGCATGCGATTGCGGACCTTATTATCATACAATTGTTTATGTAAACAAGGCGTATCTAATGATCGAATGCCTAAACTGTTCGTTCCATGGAGGAAGGATAATTAGTTCGTTCCCACTGGCAGCATTTTCATTTTGACAGGTCGTTGGAATGTCATTTAAATCCAACCGCTCCAGCAAAAAAAAAACTAAAATGTTTCTGGTTCCCGAAGTCCGATCCCTACACATTTCCTTTATGTAAATCTAGCCGAATTCGGATATTTACACAAGTTGGTGGTAAAGGTTGTGTGGTATGGTAACTATCAAGGTCATCAGTCTTATCAAATATCAAACTCCCATTTAATTAATAAATTGAACACTTTTTTAGATCAAAGAATCTATTAATTATTCCAATATTGATTTTATGAATGAGATTATAGCTGGTCCCTAACATTAAACTCTACCTATTAACATAAAACATCTGCTTACCTTTCCAGCTTCTTTGGTCAATTTAAGTACGGTATCGTAATATAGATCGCTAGTTGTTTCACACTCGCACATTTTGGAAACAGGTTAATACTAAATGGCTTCTTCAAAAAATCTGTCGAATTTAATTTTAATCTAATTTTCTACTTCTACGTGTTTCTTCCTAACCTCACAACTCATTATCTTTTATTTAAATCAATAAATTAATTGCGCAATCGTAGTGCAAATGAGTTTTCCTGCATTGTATTCGGTGCAGGACCGTCTCTGTTTTCTGTGCCCTTTGTATATGGCCCAGTTTCATCACTATTTTCTAAATACCGGCAAAACGGCGTTTATAAACAAAATAAAATGTTATTGGTAGGTAAAGTAACTAAATTTTTGACAGTCTAAGCAGTTGGTCTGCACATTTTTCTTTTGTCGCTTTTTATAACTTTCCTATGTATAAGGGGATATGACAAAACAATGTCCGCTTGTGCTAGATGTAGCAAAAACTGATATATAAATGAGAGGGTATAAGAGGAAATTCGGAGCAAAGACAATTGCATGTAACGAAAGAATCCCCAATTAATCAATAACCGAAATAAGTATTCACAGCACTAAGTTAAATCCAAACTGCAATTTAAAGAATTGTACACATTTGGCACTGGCCTAATTTAACTTTTTTTGCTCTCTATATCCTACCCACAGCCAGTGGCGTAGCTAGGTGGCCAATATCCCCGGTGCAAAAACAAAAAATCAGATACCAGATAAAAATATATAGCACGTTTTTGAAGAAGTTAAATTCATATGGACATGGTCGGAATACTAACTGTTTTAAACACGGGTATAGCCACTGCTTTTGACATAACAACAACAAATTTTTGGTTATTTTAGGGACAGAATAACAAAGAATTTGATAATTTACAGTACCAGAATGTAAACAAATAAAAATATGCTTTAAAAATAACTATAAAGTTGACAAAAATGGTTTATCTAAATTAGTACATTACAATTAACACTTAAAAAAATTAAACTCACAATATCCTTCGAGCTTCGATATTTGCAAATGTGTCAATAACTTCACTCAAATCTAAATCTGTAAAGAGTATACAAGTTTACTTTCGAGAAACAAAAATTTTCCATATTGATCCAAAATTAAAAATGTACCAAAATTCTTCTTATCAATTTTTAAAAATGTCCGTCCGTCGTCACGTTTTTTTTGTCAAAAATCTGAATAATTGAAATATTAAAAAATCCTAATTCAAAACCGAAAAATAATATTAACTTGAAATTTTTTAACAAAAATCAAGCTCTATAAATAAGTGAAGTCATTTTGAAAAAAAAAAAAATCTGTTTAAAAATGGGAGGGTAAGGGGAATTAAAATTAAAAAAAAAAAAAAAAAAAAAAAAAAAAAAAAAAAAAAAAAAAAAAACGAAAAACAATATCAACTTGAAATTTTCAAGAATAATCAAGACGAAGCTGATGAATAAAAATGGGCAGTTAAGACGTGTTGAAATTAAAAAAAAATCATAAATCAAAAACGATTACGGGGGCCAAGGGGGGTTGAAATATAAAAAAAACCTTGAAATTGTTAATAAAAAGCAGGCTCTACGAGGGGAGGAAGCCTATTGTTTCTTAAAAAAACTGAATAAATACTGAAATTAAAAAGGAAATGCGATAAAAACATAAAATTTTTAGTAAAAATCAAACTCTATAACCCCTTCATCCCCATGAAGCCTATCAATTCTAATAAAAAAAATGTGAATAAAAATACATCAAGTACATAGTAAAAGTGTAACTGAGAAATTATAACTTCGAGAATATAAAATTATTATTTTAAACATTTCTTTCCTATTTTCGAATCGATGGTCACACGGTAATTCATCAAAATGTTTACATAATAATTTTTATACAGATTTCAGGGTTGGTTCGGACCCTGGTGCACCGCACCACTTTGCCCTATAATAGCTACGCCCCTGAGTACAGCTATCTTGAGACATAATTGAAATAAAACCAAAATGATATCAAAATAAAGTATATTTCTTTATAAAATGTATATCGTTTTATCAAATGCTTTGCAAGGGCAATAGTCTTTTAGGAGTGGGCAATAGTTTTTTTGGTACTGGACAAAAGTCCTTTGGGAATACCCAATAAACATTTTTTCTTCTTCTGTTTACTTTCGTTGTCTTAAGTCATTGAAGACACGGCTTTGCTCCAAGAAATTTTCTACCAATCATCTTCAGCTTGTCGAATAAGAGGCGGTAAATCATGAAGATCTCGACGTTTTTTAGCATTTTTATAGTTTCCACAATAAATCAAATACAATTCGGTGTTCTGAAACTCTACAAACAATTCTTGTTTATTAAGTTCGATTATTCTCGAACATTCGTTTAAAATAAATTTAAAACTATCGCTAAATTTATCGATATATTCCTTAAAATGTTGTTTGGATGCTCTATCGATCGCATCACGTGAATACAACCAATATGTCTCGAATGGTTTGTAATTTATATTGTGAGAAACATCGTCTGACGAAGCTGTCGAAGGAGTATTCGGTATAGTATTTGTGTTATCTTCATGTTGATCGTTTTTAAAATCATTTGGTATACTAGTATCCTCATGGGCTACTAAGATTTGCGCCCATACGAGTTTGTCCTGATTTCTATGAATTACACGCGTATAATCCATCTGATTTTTTATTTGCTCGAATACGCAATTAACATTCGTTCCTCTATGTCTAATTGTAACGTTTTCATTAATACGTTCTAAATATTTTTTCGGATGAAATAGGTAATCTAAACTATCGTTTTTAAAATTATATTTTAATATGTCTTTCAATTCTTTTCGGTTCGGTATATTTTTTATAACGTTAAGATGGTTGCTAAAAGGAGTTAAACTTGCAGAATATTCTATTTCGGCGATGTCATTCCTTTGTAAATCTCGAATTTTACTCAACAAGTTTTTATAACCTTCCATATCAGAAATTAACCTATTTCTGTCATTAGTAAAAATATTATGAGATTGTTTATATTGCAAAAATAAATTCACATTCACATCTGTATTATTCAATTCAGACGTGGGAAAATGGTATTCGCTGATTACTAGAGTTCTGTAATGTATACATTTCATCCAGTTTTGAATGTTGAACATATTTAAATCGGGAAATTCTGTGTTACATAATTGAGCAAACATTCCTAAACTATTTTCTGTAACACCATCGAGACCGTATAGTAATTTCAATACGAAAATTATGAGACTCATTACTCTGGCTTCATAATTTGGTAAGTAGAATGTTTTTCTATCTCTTCTACCTTTTCCAAATTTCATGGGATTGCGCGATAAAATATTTTGAACAGCCGTTAGGACGTCATCTGAAAATAAACCCTTATTATATACAATTATAAAGTTAAATATAAACAAAACAAAAGTTATGACAATATGAGATGAACATACAGATTTTAAAATCAATATTGATAGCAAATATATAGCCTTTTTTAACAGATGCTTTAGTTATTTTCTTTATGATCCATATTTTACATTACTTATATAGATAAGTAACGTAAAATTTCCCTATATAATATAAGAATATTAATACATTTAATTATTCAATATCTAGTTTTAGCATTACCTATTCTAATAATCTTACAAGTGACAGTGTCAAGGATTAATCTTTTTAAACTCAAAATACAGATACATTTTTTTGTTGAGAATAATTTCATCCTCCAAGCGAAATAGTAGCAAAGTTAAAATTAAAACAAATTCTATATACATAAGATTTTTTAAAACCCTGAATGTTTTGTGCCCATTTTATTAGGTAAACCATTTTCAACCATTAAGTTTGTTATGCGGCTGTTATATTGCGTTTAACGTTTAAGGAGATAAAATATAACCAGTCATTATTCAATTATCTTCATTTATACATCATCCATGATACCTTTAATCAAGCATAAAGACATTCTACAAGAGTCATCACTTAGTTATCTACAGTCCACGCTCTATTTGATACAAGGGATCCTGACTCACATACTTTTCAATACTTAGGAGCCTTGAAACAATTGGAGTCTTGTTGGCAGTTATTGCTCAAAACCAATTTGATGTCAAGGCAGCATTCGTCTATGGCGAAGTAAGTGAAGATCTGTACATGTTGCCTCCTGAAGGACTAAAATGTTAACCAGGACTGGTGTGCAAATTGCAAAAATCGTTAAATGGTTTAAAGCTAGCGCCGCGTTGTTGGAACACTAAATTTGATAACTTTCTGAATGTGGATTATAGAATCGTATGTCCTCAGATATGTTCATCATAAATAAAGTTTCATGTGGACTAAATAAAAATTTTGAGACATAAGCGAAGTTAATTACTATTTTGGTCTAGAAATTACACCAAGTAAAACGGATGGCTCTACACTGGCGGATTTAGGGAGCAGCCGCGGGCGCGCACCCCCTAGAGCCTTTCTAAATGAAGAAAAGTAACATTCTGTCTAAACAGATTGTGTAGGCTTTGTCACTATTTTCCAGAGCCACTATAGGAACAGCACTGTTTATTAGAACCCAACAGTGAATGATCGAATGGGAAATCATACCTATGCTTTAGAATTAATATTTAATTCATTAAGTTAAAATACTGTCACCAGCTGGATTTCGAACCAGAGTCCCTTCAATCTCAAAGTCATGACTAACCACTGAGTCAACCCACCCTGTAATTCTCATCTTTAATTCATATTATAAATATTATTCGATTAGATGGGCCATCCTTAACATATTTGATAACTTTACCAATCATTTAATGTGTGTACTAGTTTAAAACCCACTACTCTAGCAGGTACTACTTCTTATATTAATATTAATTTGATGAATTGGATGATCTTTCATAGTTATATCATGTAATGATAAGTTTCTTTAGCGATAGTATCATTCTCTACTTTAATTTGTACTCAACTGTTTATCATCTTTCAGGCGTGATGATGGCTTTTATGCCGAAAACGGTTTTTGTTTTTCCTTTTTCATACAAAGATGACCACTTTTGAGAAGCAGAATGACCTTCTGTAACTAAACAGAGATGTCTTGATTTTGTGATTTTATATAAACATTTTTTTGTCTTTTAAATAGCAAAAACCCTAATTAAGATTTATCAAAGATTTTAATAATCTAGATACGTGCAAATTGTTATTCTGTGCCCTTGTTAGATCCAAGCTTGAATATGCCTCAATAATATGGTCCCCTAATTATAATGTGTACGTTTTAACTTTAGAAAAGGTTCAGCAACGTTTCCTTAAGGGTCTTCATTATTATTTTCATGGAACTTATCCTGAGAGGGGATACCCACAAGACCAGCTATTAACAATGTTTGGAATGCAGAGCTTATTTCAACGAAGAATTATATCTTCAATTATTTTCATTTTTAAAATAGTACACCATTTAATTAAATGCCCGGCTTTATGTGCTCAGCTTAACTTCCTAGTTCCAAGAATTAATTCCAGGTACAGCTGCACATTCATTCTTCCCACTCCCAGAACAAACTTATTATGTCAGTCTCCATTGTACCATATGCTGTCCATGGTTAATGACTCGAGTAAAGAAATTGATCTATTTTGCACTACCATCTCAAAGATTAAAAAACTTTATTCCTGATTTATATCCATATATTCTTAATTAAAATATTTAGTGTAATGTAATTTAGTGTGATTAAGTTTTTTATGTTTTTGTATCTAATTTCATCTTTATATATATATTAGTTGTTTCGCATGCGATATGTGTGAGTAACCTTTTTTCTCCACTGGAGTTTTTTTCAGATTACTTATACAATCTCATTTATAGTTTTACTTTAAAATTTGTTTTGCTTTTATTGTATTATTTACAAATATATGTTTATTAATGTTAAGTGTGCATTGTGTAATAGGCCTTGGCCGTTGAATGTAAGAATAAATAAATAAATAAATAAATAAATAAATAAATAAATAAATAAATAAAAATAAATAAATAAGTAAATGATCCAAAAATAATTTGTCAAAACATAAGTTGTATATGAATAAATGTACTTGTAACAAGAAAAATCGGGTACATTAGGTATATATTTATCTCACGAATAAATATTTGCAGTGACCCCCCTTCCCTAAAATGAATCCTAAATCTGCAACTTTGGCTATCTTTATATCTCAAGAAAACTATACCAAACAACTTGTGAAACGTTTTGGCTTGCAAACCCAACAAGTATACCAGAAGTCCCAAATGTTAACCTTTCCACTGATACAAATCCTTTTTTAGAGTAGGGTGAAGCTCCCTATAGAGAATGTGTTGGTTCTTTAATTTCTGCAGCAATGGTAACAAGAATAGACATAGCCCAAGAACTTATTAAGAACTCATGAAATTAGATATAAAAACCAACGACATATATTGAAAACCAAAATGCAATCAGACTCATTCATAACACCGAATAGTATTGTAAGACACATCATGTTAATCTGGTAATACTTCATTAAAGAAAAGTTTGGCTGGTGTCCCATACATTCCTACAACCAACTAAGAAGCAGATGCTCCGAGTTAATAAAAACAAACGTTATTTTCTTTACAATGAAAAATAAAAATTACCTGGAAGATTCATTTCCGTGCAATATCTTTGAACCAATTCAACTAAATCTGGACATTTTATGTATTCATCGACTTCCAAAAATGTTATCAACTTTGAAACTGTAGACCTAAAATACTTGGTAGAAAAAAAACAAGTTTTACCGTAATCATGAAAACTAAATGTTTTATCTGAATAGCTCTCTGGAAATAATGTTGAAAATCTATCATAGTTTAAGTGGCCCTCTTTTAAAAATCGAAATAAGTCTCCCAACTGAATAGAATCTTTTATTATTAATAAAGATATGTATAATATGGCATATATCTTAATAGGTGAAATAAAATGAACACCGCTTTTATAATTTACAGACCATTTTGTCCTGTGTGTAAATTTATGACATTTTAAACTAGATTCTAAATCTTTTTTATGGCTTTCTAAATGATTTTTTTTCATCATTTTTTTCAACTCTTTCTTACTGTATTTATTAAATTGTATTTCCTCATTACCAGAGGATTTTTCTGAAGAACTTTTAAGACTGTTGAGTGTTTCAGCCTGCAAACTCTTACTGTCCTCTCCTTTTTCTAACAGTTCAGTGTATTGGGATTTAGCTAAGGCAGCCTAAAATTTAAAAAATTTATAAACTTGTGCATTCGTTATTTTTAAGTATAAGTAGGTGGTTCCCAAAAAGTAGTGAATTTGACATTTATTAATGCAAATAACGGGATTTACCTTTTTCTGTGATCTTTGTCGCCTAGATGCAGTTTCTGATTTATCTGAATTACTGGTTACTGACCTTTTCCTCTTGTATCTTTTTTTTACATCATAAGTTATTCTTACATCCCTAAAAATATACCTTTTTATCTTGAATATAGCACAATATGTACTGAATTTACCGTTTAATATGAACTAATGATAACTTAGGCATTTCATCTTGTTCCAAATTTATAACCTCAAGTTTTTCCAAATATCTCATCCACAAACATTTAACAATCTTTTTTATTTTTACATCTGCTCCCAGTTGTATTAACTGTTCAGTTAAGGCTAATAAGATTACGTTGTAACATTCCCAGCTTGTGAGATGCTCATTTTTACTTGTTTTTATAGTTTTAATCTTTCTGACACTGTTAACGTTTATTTGAGCTGCTTCTTCTTGAAAAGCATGTTCTTTGAGTTCTTGGCTTTGAGTTTGACATTCTCCGCAAAAGTAAAAACCAGAGTCCTTTATAAAATTTGTGCCACCACAAACTACACATTCCATTATTTATGCTTTTCTACATCTATTAAAATTATATATTTAATTACATAATTCAAAAACAAAATCCGTGAAATTCAAATTGACATCTTTATCGGATAGCGACATAACCTCTCACTGTCACCACCGACTTCTTCTTTTACTTTTTTTTGTTCCTTATTGGACTCTATATAGGACAATCAGCTATTATTTAGGGAAAAAATTTCAAATAAAAAAATAATTTATATTTGTTAACAGCTTTTATTTTACAATCCTATGTTTTAAATAATATGTAAATATTTAACATGTTCTAAATTATTTAAAAATCGTACAAATAAACAATACAAATTGGCGCATCGACAATGTTGAACTTATATTAAAATGCTTTATAAATTAGTTTTCCAAGTGTACGAACAAGCTCTCTTCCAGTAAATCATAAATACGGAATGTATTATTACTATTAGAAGACCTACACAAAATAAAACACAGACTTCGGAATTTATATTAAAAAATAATAAATAATAGCTATTGTTATATCTTTTGGTTTGATTCTGTATTTTTTTTTTTTGATCCAATATTTATGATCACCTGGTATGTATATATTAAAAAAGCGTATTTTTTCATTTTATACTGTCAGTCAGTTAAATTATCAGAAACAATATTTTTGTAAATTAACTAACTTGTAAGCATTTTACTAAACATTACTTAATTTTAATAAATCGACATACTTGGCATTTTTTATAAATACTTAATGTTAATATAAACTCATACATTTTAGAACTGTTTATAATGTATAAAAAAATTTGGTTTGAGACCAGATAACATGTTTTAAAATTTATTGGATACAATTTTCTATTAAGATTGTCACTAAGTTTGATCGAAATCTAAAATGGAATCAGGATAATTGTTAAAAATTAAAGATATGTAACTTATTTTAGTACAAACCCTGTATGTTAAAAACTACAAGTATAAATACCTATAAAACTTTCTTTAAAATGTTTAATTATTTATCAACAAATATGATAAATAATGTTGTGTAAAGGGATTGTTTAATTTAATACAAGGGATGTGAAAAATATGAAAACATACAGCACATTCACAGCACATATCCTCTATTTTGCATATTTTTTTTTAGTTTGGAAATAGACTTTTAGCTCTAACGCCACGTTATAGGCAACCAATATTTCACTTTCACCAGAAAATCTTTGGGGGTCTTAATCTATATATGTCATTGGGTCTTATGCACAAAGTAAATAAAGATCAATTTAAATAGGGATATTTTTACAGTAATCCTGGTTGCCTAAATCGTAACGTCACAGTAAACGTTATGGATTTCATAATAATAAAGCTTTAACATTTCTTTAAATGCAAATAATTAAGAAACAGTGCAGAAACTGTTTACGTATAAATTAAACAAGACATTTTTCTTTATTTAGTACAACATTTTCTTCGCCAATTTGGCAAATTTTGTATGTACTTAACACTGAATAATCACATGATATCCATATCTTTCGTAAATATTACAATAATATTACAAATATACATTTAACACTGCGCTATATAAATAGGCCAAAAAACAGCGAAAAACAATAATTTTTTTTCAGTTCTTTCCTAGGTCATTTTATTATTCAGTTCGTTATGGATACTGTTTAGATGTTGAAGGAAATTCTTCAGGAAAACTTGTAGTTGAGTCCTCTTTGGTAGCAAGTGGTGGAATCTAAAAACATTACAATTCATTTAAAAAATATAGAGAATATCTAGGAGGCACCTTTCAGCCAAGCCATATAGCTGCTTCGTTGTATATTTGGGAATCATTTTTACTTCCACAGTTTACATTTTGTGAAAATTTTACCATAGTTTTTTATTTATTTATTTATTTATTTATTTATTTATTAAATACACTGCTCTACAGGCTAAATGCCTAGTTATAGAGCAGGAAAAAAATTGTAATTACAAAAGTAAATATAAATATAACATATTGCACAATAAGACATAATTTGGATATAAGATAAATTACACAACATAACAAAACTTACACAATATAACAAAAATTACATAATATGACAAAAAATTAAATAAATTAATGACTATACATTGACACTAAAAGTCAATGTTGACCATTTTTTCTAATTTTGACGAGATTATTTATAAAATGTGTTTGGTAAAAAATTACTAAATGAAACCAATATTACTTTCGTGCATTTTTAGTTGCATAACTTAATTCATTTCATTGTTATGTTCGCGATTCAAGCTAAGTGATACGCCCCATTACGCCCCTCTGAATAGCTATTCACTAAGTCATGGGAGCGCTCCCATGGGAGTGTTCCCATATATTTTGCTCTCTTACTCTTAGGTGGGTATATCGTGCTTACTTACTTTTAGCCCAGGTACATGCATGTAAGCACGATATACCCACCTAAGAGTAAGAGAGCAAAATATATGGGAGCACTCCCATGGGAGCGCTCCCATGACTTAGTGAATAGCTACCCTGGAGAAAATTTGTGAAAGGTGTCTATAAGTAGGACTTTGTTCAATGCTGCCAGCAGTAGCGGAATTTCGCTACGTCGTCGGATTTTCAGTCCTTTAAGAAGTGAAAAGGCCTTTTTTAAAGCACCAAATTTGTGTTTAGCCTAGCAATAGATGTAATCATACTCTATATTTGTTACGGATTTATTATAAAACCGATTTTTTATATTGATTTTTTTAAATTTCATTCATTTATTAATTTTGTTTTAAATTCAATTCATCACGAACGCCAGTGTTCAATGTTTTAATTTGTATCAATATATCATAATTTTTCTTACGTGTAAGCTTTAAATTTGTTTATTGCTTATAGTGTGTGATAGTGTTTATATTAAAAATAAATTTGCCAAAAAGCCCCTAGCAAATTGCAATCTATATGCTGTTAATGTCAAAATCAAAACTGGTGTTCATTATTTTCCAAGCGTAGTCATAATTTTATTTCCTAAGATAAATGGATATCTACAAATTCACATTATGGAGATTTTGCAAAGTTTTGTCTAGAATCAAACTGCAATCTGCATTTTTTTAAAAAATCACAAATACAAAATCTCGCCCACAACAAACACAGTAGCAGGGGCGTGCGGTCCATGGAAGCGGGGTAAGCACTGCTTCCCTACACTTTGAGATTTAAAAATAGATATTTTTCATTTTAAAATGCGTAGAAATTAATATTTTTTCTAAAACTACGTAAACTTCGTAAATGTACTAACAATTCATTGGTGTAATGTGTAAACGCACGCACCACCCACGAGAAAATTAATTGTGTAAACGTACACACCCTATACTTCGAGTCCGTCGGCGGAAGCGCGTCTTGAAAGAGCCGGTTCATCTTCCAATAGGTTTCGCTTTGTGTTATTGACCTTGCTTTGCCGCGACAATAGTCAGTCTGCTTGAAAACGTGAAATACGATCGAGAGGCAGCGATTTTTACATCGCCTTACGCATTTTGCAATTCGCACCGCGAATCGACGTGTGAGTAAAATCGTAGATTTCGGTTTGTTTTTCGTAGTTGTTTTTCTTTTTGTAAAATGGAGGAACTATGCACTCTGCCTGTGAACAATAATAATGTGGTAAATTGTGTCTGTATTATGTGCTCTTTGTTGAAAAAAGAATTTTCAAGTAGAAATTTTGAAGAGAAAACGGAGATTATTAATTTTAGTAGACTAAAGGATCCTATCAATTTAGAGACGAAAGTAGAAAAGTCAGCAAAGAAATTTACCAGGCATGAAAAGTATGAATGGTTAACCGGCTGCAAAACTTTGAAGAAATTGTTTTGCTGGCCTTGCCTACTTTTTAATATAGCCGAAAAAGCACATTGGAACTCAGTCGGTATTACAGACTTAAATAATTTTCACAAAAGTGTAAAACGACATGTAAATAGGAAATCTCATATAAGTGCTACAATTAAAGAAAAAACATTCGGTACCTATCGCATTGGACATAGTTTGGACAATCATTTAAAAATAAGCAACAAAATTCACAATGAAAGGGTAGGTTAGGTTAGGTTGAAAATGAGTGGGATGATCTCATCGCCCTCCACTGCGATCCAGATGGGTCTATTGTGGCTCATAACTAACTTATAGTTCACCGTACAAGCCACACCTTTTGATGAAGGTCATGGTTGAATTGGGTGAGACTTCTCTAAAGTCGGTAGGCTCATCCAGTTGGGTAAATCCGAAGATATGGAACCTGGTTCTTTCCAGAGCGGAGAAGGTACATAGAATGTGCTCTGCAGACTCGTCCTCCACGCTGCAGAATCGACAGTCCGATGTTTGTTGCAGACCTATCCTTCTCATGTGGTTGCCCAGACGGCAGTGTCCTGTCATCAGTCCAGTGAAAATGCGTAGATCTCTCCTACTCCACTCTCGGATATGAGCAGAGGCGTTCATGGAAGGGTTGTTTATAAACGCCTTCGAATGGGTTAGCCCTGGGGTATCTCTCCAGTTCGTGAGTGTTACACCCTCGGTCCATTTTGAGATAATTCCTTTGGCAGTGCTTTTTGCAATGCCCAGGATTGGTTCTGGTCCTATGAACACACAGATTCGGTTCCTCTTTTAGCAAGTGCGTCGGCTTTTTCGTTGCCCTCCACACCACTGTATCCCGGAACCCAGATCAAAGTAACTTTGTTCCGGGCATCGAGAGACTCTAGGGTATTTATACAGTTCCAAACCAGCTTTGAGTCAACTCGATTGGAGCTCAGGGCCTTAAGGGCTGCCTGGCTATCTGAAAAGATCTTTATAGTCTTGTTTGCGGGGAGAAAATTGATCAACTCTCTCGCTCCCAATTATATAGCAATCATTTCTGCTTGGAAGATCGTGGCCAGGGAGCCTAGGTTTATTGATATGTCAACTCTAGGCCTCTAGCCGAAAACTCCCGCTCCTACTCCTTTTTCAGTTTTGGAGCCGTCCGTGTACAGCGCATAGTCTGCCTGGAAGAGGGTTTTTTCCCCTTTGCTCCATGCGTCTCTCTCTGGAATGAGGACGCTGTATGGCTTTTCTATGTGCTGTCGGGGAACTAGCGAATCCGAGACCATGCCGAGGATGGGGTGATTAATAATTTCACTCACTAGCCCCGTCTTGTCCCACCGCAGTTCTTCGTAACATTGACTACCCACTTTCAGGAGCCTGTAGGAGACGATTCTGGCTTCCCTTTCCAGCACAATGTGGAGAGGGGTTAGGTCCAGCATGGTCTCCATGGCTCCCGTAGGTGTAGTTGACATTGCTCCAGTTATGGCGAGACACGCAAGCCGCTGTATTCCAGCCAGCTTTGCTCTGGCCGTCCGTTGGAGTCCCTTGTCCCACCAGACGACAGAGCCGTACGTAACCATGGGTTTTACCACTGTTTGGTAGATCCAATAGATCAGTTGAGAACTGATCCCCCATGCTTTGCCGCATATCCTTCTGAGCAATGAAAGGGTAAAAAAAATAGGGACGTCTTACAACGATTAATAGATGTAACTTGTTACCTGGGAACTAAGTTTTAGGGGTCACAATGAAGCAAGTGGATGCGCCAATCGAGAAAATTACATGGACCTTCTAAGTTTTTTAGCAAAATACGATGGTACCCTAAAAAATCATTTTATTGATTCGACGACTTTCCGAGGTACCTCAAACAGAATCCAAAATGATTTAATTAAATGCACTGCCGACGTTGTGATGGATCACATTAAAAATGAAATTAAAAAAGCACCGTTCATATCAATTGCGCTTGATGAAACCACAGATGTAGCAAATTTAAGTCAATTATCCATTGTTGTGCGATATATATTGGATGGCATTCCTCAAGAGGGATTCTTAGGATTTTTGGACGTCACTAGCGAACGAACTGCAGATGCGTTGTTTAAAATTGTTTGTGACATTATTTCAAGTATAGAATATGGTTCTAAGCTTGTTGCCCAGAGCTATGATGGTGCTGCCGTAATGGCTGGCCATTTAGGAGGCCTTCAAGCTAAAGTGAAAGAGAAGTTTAACCATGCAATTTTCGTTCACTGTATAGCTCATAGACTTAATTTGGTTTTATCGCGAAGCATGGATAATATTAAAGATTGCAAAGTTTTCTTTTCGACGCTTAGTGGTTTGGCTTCCTTCTTTTCAAAGTCATCGAAAAGAACTCGCGCTTTGGACATTCACGTTCAAAAAAGGTTTCCGAAAGTTGCTCCGAAGCGATGAAACTACAATGGACGTTTAGTGCAAACAGTGTTTCAATACCGTGATTCCTTGATACACTTTTTTCAAGACGTTTGGGATAATAAAGAAACATGGGATGCTGAAGCTGTTACTGCCGCTAAAGGGTATTTGTACTGGCTCAAAAAAAAACTTTAATTTCAATTTTTTGCTCAACATTTTTGCAGAGATTTTCCCTTTTACTGACATTTTATTCGACATTTTACAGACAAAGTCAAATGACATTGGTTTTTGCATTAAACAAATTAATATTTTAAAAATAAAATGAATAAAAAACGAGATCAGTTTGAACACTTTTGGAATAAGACTCAAAACATTGGCTTATAACCTGAAAGAAAGAGAATTAGAATTGATAATGTCGGTGACAGAGAGACCTCCTACCGTCGATTATACGCCGACATTTTTGATAATATTTTACAACAAATGAACTCTCGATTTCAAAACTTTAACGAATTAAAATTTGTTGAATTGTGCAATTTTAATATTAGTAACTACGATTCATCAAAATTTCC